CTCTCTCTCTCTCTCTCTCTCTCTCTCTCTCTCTCTCTCTCTCTCTCTCTCTATCTCTCTCTCGATTCAGTTTGTCGTTCCTCGTTTTTGTTCGCCAGTGTTTGATCATACCTCGCTTGTTCGACTGGTCGCCTCCTCCGAATATGATTTCTCTTTTTAAAACTGCTCTATATCTCTCTGTCTCTTGTGCCCCCTTTGTCTTTGTTTGATACTCTGTCGCTCTCTCTCTCTCTCTCTCTCTCTCTCTCTCTCTCTCTCTTTCTTCCTGTACGTACCTGTCTATCTGTGTATCTGTTTCTGTCGTTCTCGGGCCCTCTGGGGCCGCGCTCGCCGGCAGACCGGGCTCCCGGCAAACCGAAAACAACGACTTCAAACGATTCTATTTTACGAAATTGCCGCGTCTACGGTCACAAGAAGAACATGCTCGAAATTCGCATCGTTGCGTACGATTTCGTTCGGCCCGCGGTACGGCCGCGTCCGTGAATTTTCTCCGCGTTCAAACGCGTTCAAACGCGAAACGCGCCGTCGTCCAACGATTCGCAGCTGTTCGAAATTTCGCGGCCGCCGGTTTTCGAATGTATTCTTGCAAAGTCGTGTTCGCGACGATTCGAGACGATACACGAGCGTTCGGTTCGTGTCGGTTTTACGCGGTTTGATCCCCCGGAATCGGCCGGCGAGTGGACGCGAGAGGGTCCTCGCACACCAACATTAAAGGAAACTACAATCGTACGAATTGTCTCTGTGTTATCTGTGATATGTCGTCGGTATGTTGTCATCCTCGCCGTCTCCCACAATGTTCTGTTTCTGTTTGTGTTATGTACTGTCTTCGTGACCCTGTTAGCGCCACATTTAGCTACCACCACCGTGCTCCCGTTAAACGGCAATAGTATGTTTGAGAATCGTGTACTTAATATACAATTCGAACTCTATATATATATTTCTATATTGTATATATATATATACACACATATATATATATACATCTCTATCTCTCTCTATATATATACATATACCTGGTCTTGTGTTGTTTTGTGTTGCCAGGCTTGCACTTTTTATGTACGTTACCGAAAACCCTTTGTCTCGAGTTTGTCTCTCTAGCGAATATGTATACTTTTTACACCCCGTCCCACTAGCATTATTCACACACGAATACGCTGAATTTAATTATGCGCGCCTCTTGTTGCGTCCGAGATTATTATATATATATATTTCGTGTTCCATACCACACAAACACGCACACACACACACATACATACACAGGCATATATGTATCATACATATACAGTCACGTGTATGTGTATACATATTTTTCTTTTTCTTCGATTGTTCCTTTCCGTCGTGTTACGAGATCGATCTCATTGCCACACACACATAACGTACACGTACGCGAGCGCGCGTATACACGCAAACGCGCGCACACACGTACACAAGATCGTCGATCGACGATATTAACGAACAGTGACGTCGCAACGAGAAAGCTACCAGATAATGCGAAAAAAATGAGTGTACTTTTGTCGAAAAAGAGAGAAACACGACCACGTGGAAACGACAACCATAATTGAAACCAAAAAAAAAAACAAACAAACAAAAAAAGACAAAAAAAGAATACAAAATACAAAATAAACAAACTGTGTAAACGGAACGGATGATATCGAGCCACACGTCGATTCGCTTTTTTTTCGAACGGCCGACAACGGATCGGTGAGCGTACGAAATCTTCTAAAAAAAACCCGGGGAAAAAAATCAAGTGTAACAGAACAAAAAAACCAAAAAAAAAGATATATAAAAAAAAGAGTAACAAAAACCGTCACACACGATATCAGCTTTTACGAAAAACCAAAAAAGAATAAAAAAACAAAAAAGAAAACCAAAAAAAAAGCAAAAAGAAAAAAGAAACGACCCGATCGACCATTCCCTCCTTGTCCCTTGTCTACGTCTGTTTTATCACCTGTCTTACAATGTGCCAACTAACCCCGTACACCAAACGCCCTGTGTCTGTCTTGAACCGATCCGTGCTATCTCTAACCCACCGAAAAAAGTATTTACCGCAATTATGTCCAAGAGAGCTAGAAAATAGAGAACAAAGAGAACAACGACAACGGGAACAACAACGACAAACAAACAAAAGAAACAGAAAAGAAACGAGAATGAGATGAAAGTAGAAGAAGAAGAAAAAGATGCTAGAAAGAAAGAAAGAAAGAAAGAGAAAGAAAATCCTCTTCGTGCGATAGCAAAACCGGAAGCCGTCGTGCTTGCCGCGCTGCGTCCCTCCGCCATTACGCGACGCGACGGTGCCGAAGTATCCTCTCGGATCAGAGTAATCTCCGCGCATAATCCGCGGGAGTAGTAGTCGAACGGTAAATAAGAGGAAAAGGAAACGGAACGGAACAGAGAAATTGAAAGCAAAGAAGATAACACGGAGGGCGGAGAGGGGAGAGAGAGAGAGAGAGAGAAAGAGAGAGAAAGCGAGAGACGGAAAAAAAAGAGACGAGCTCTCGAAGAGAGAAAGAAAGAAAAAAAGAGAGAGAGACAAGGAGAGACGCGCGCGGTTCCTCTCTCTTAGCCGGGAACACCGTCCGTTCTCTTTTTAGTTCTTTCGATTTCGAAATTCTCGAGCCCGGTTTCCCCGACGCGAACGAAGCTTCTCTTTTCCTCCCCCCGCCCTGCGGCACAGATTCGCCGATCGAACAGCTAATTAAAACTGCGCGCGACGTTCAAGCTTCGTTTGTCTCGGCACGGTGCTCGAGATTTTCAACGGCGCTTGTACAACGGCGTTCCTCGACGAAAGGATGCTGCGGATTCGCTCGTTCGCGGAACGAAACAACGGAGCGAGCGAAGAAATGTTCGCGCGAACGCGCGCTCGATTTTCTCAGCTCGGGTAGCCTAATTCCGCGTGATCGGACCGGGGCATTCGTAGCTCGAGAAAGAAAAACGAGATCGTCGGATGCACGGTCGCGCGCGAACTTTCTTCGATCTCGCGCGAGTTCCGCGAATCGACGATCGCGCCGCGCTTTCCGGCAGCTCGATTCAGACGAGCGAGTCTCTCTCATCCCGATGCCGTAATTAAAACAACGGGCACCGGCGAACGCGTGCGCGCACAAAGCGTTTCACGCGTGTCCGCCGATTCGGAAGTTACCGAAGAAAATGTTGTTTCGGTCGTCGAGCCGCTCGCCGAAGACGGACGCGAAGAACGCTTTCGCGAAGGCTCGACGGATCCGATCTCTCCGTTCCGCCGTTTCGCGACTAATTATCATTCTCGCGAGTTCGATTTTCAGTTGAAGCCGCTCGTCTGAACCAAGCCGCCGAGAGAGAGAGAGAGAGAGAGACGCCGTGTCCAGGCTTCTTCTCGGTGTCCATCGCGCAAAACAATGATCTCGCTGTTGTGTCCGGGACCGTTCGATCGATAAAAAAATCGCGCCCGTTCAAAAGAAAAGAAAAAAAAAAGAAAAGAGAAACCGTCTTTCCGTTCTTCATTCTTTCGATTGGTTCTCACTGTTGCGTTACCTTCCGTTCATTTTGGAAACCATTCCAGATACTTATGGTTTTGGACTTACCAGTAGTGACGACTGTGCCTGCCACCTTGCTGTGCTCGTAATTGGAGGATCGGCGATCTCGAACTCGATCCCCGTAGTCACCTAAATCGGTGGCAGGGTGGCGCGTGTTGATATTATTGATCGTCGCGCGTAGTCCGTCTTGCGTTCTCGCGAGAGAGAGAATATCGCACGGGAGATCCTCCAAGAACGAATCATGACACCCCATACGCAATCCCTTAGGGACAGATTAATATATATATATTTACATAACGAACGCATCTATACAGCCTGTTAGACCGCCCCGAATTCTTGTTGCCGGGCCCTTCTTATCGCGCTGGTTTCGTTAAGGGGTTGTTGGCAGAGCGTTGCAGAATTGATGGGCCAATTACCGGACAGAGTAGCCGGAATAATGGTGCTGTTTTATTGTTGTAGCATAAGTTCGTGGACGCCAAGAAAAGAGGAAAAATAAAAGTGATTTTGGAAGAGCAGAAAGTTACGGATAAATTCGAAGAAAGTAGTTCACGAAAAACAGCTTCGGATAGTAAAGTTGGAGCGCGAGTTAACGAGCAAGATTGTGTAAAAATATGAAACACAGGCAGCTCGATTTTTTATTATATTGCAACGTCGGTGTTTTTATTATTAATTATTATCTAAAACCTTTCGAGACGTTTAGTCTTCTCTTTTTGTAGTCTTTTGCAAGTCTTATACTTTACTTTGAAAGTATTCAAACGAACTATAGCTGTGCAAGTATTATCTCGATGTAGTCTTGGATTAATAATTGATATCATAAAGTGTTTAAGATAATACGACGAATATTTAGAATGTTTCAAATGTTTCTAATTTCTTCGAGTTATACTTTGGAAAATATTTAAAACGTTTCCGATGATCCATTATTGAAGATTCTACGTCGAACGCGTTCGATAATCCTTGGGCACGGGGTAGAATTTTTTGAATTTCGCGCCTCCACCCCTTGCAACGCTCTGAAGTCTGCCGCAGGTCAGGTCAGAGAGGTCATCGACCCGTGCGCGGGCTATTTAAATCTCCGAATCAATCCTGCAAGCGAAACTGTCCTCCCACGTTACATCTTTTTTCACTAATTTTTTCGTTCGAGATCGGCAGATCTGTTCGCCGTGAGATTAGAATTAATGATGACCCTGTAATTTTTTAATCGTTGCTTGTTATCACAGCAGTCCAGGGGCACCGTAACAAGCTGCGTAAGCATGCGCGCGACACACCGCATATTTTATATATTCTTCTTCTTATTATTATTATCATTATTATATTATTACTATTATTATTATTATTATTATCTACCTACCTATATCGATCTCATTATATCTCAGCACAAAACACAGATCGCTTAAATAATATTCAGCTTAAACATACTTCCAACTTTATATATCGCAGATAATCCAGCCCTCAGATTTTACTACTTAACCACATATTTTTCATTATCGCCTATTACGTATCTACTAAACATGATTATTATATGCATGCGTTCTTTACTTCTCACGAAAAGTAACCGAACAAAAAATGAAAGTTCACCCTTCGCCCTGCCCGCCGCCCCTTGCCCGCCCGCCGCCCCCACAACCCCTTTAATTTACCTGCCTCAATCGAGACGATCGTTCTAGTTCTTTTTTTTTCTTTGTTTGTTTGCCGAATGATAGCTATCTATATATTTATCTATATCTACATATATATATTTATATATATAATTATATGTGTATATGTGTACATGTATACATATATATGTGTATATATATATATGTATATGTATTCTACTGTTTTTGATTCCCCCGCCCACCCAAACATTTTTTGAGAAGCACAGTGCTCGACTAAAAAAAAAGTACGTTTGCGAACCACCCCCGCAGACACGAGACCCGATGCACAAGCATTATACAAAGCATTATTACATGTAAAGCATAAAGCAACGAACGAACGAACCAAAAAAAAAAAAATAATAACACTAATAATACTAATAACCACGCATAAGCGACAATGCAAATGCAAAAGAAAAACAGAGAACAAGCAGAAAAGAAAAGAAAAGAGCAGAATAAAATAGAAGCAAAACCAAAAAAAAAAAAGAGAAAAAAGAAAAGGAAAAGAACAAACAGACGAAAAAAAACAAGTGAACGAACAGAACGAAAAAAATGCAAAGAAATCAAAAGCAAGCAAAAAGAAAAAAAAAGAAAAGAAAAAGCTCGTACGTGTTCCCGCTTCGTTGCCGATACTCGCGCGTTGCAGACTAGCACCCACCCCCTCCCCCCTCGCAACACGCGCGCGAGCAGTAGTATAGCATAGTGTACATACATATATATATATAGAAAAGCCGAGGAGAACGCGTGCGGAGATAACGCTGAATGGCGGCCCCCGCGCTCTCGCGCTCGCGCGCGCGCGCGCTCCGTGTTCCCATTGTTCCGTTTGTAAAATCAATTTGTATCGCTTCCCGATTCGAGCGGAGGCATTAGCTCTCGCGAACCGACGGGGAGCGCCGGCTTCGAATGGAGTTGCGGATCGTATTGGCAGCGAAGTGAGAATATTGGATCGCATTGAACCGTTGACCGCGGAAGCTGATTTGACAGACAGAATCGATTGTTCGCGCTCTCGCCGTCTGCCCTTAGGATACAACCGCGCCGCGAGAGATAGATAGAACGGCGGCGAGAGAGAGAGAGAGAGAGAGAGAGAGAGAGAGAGAGGGGGCTAGGAGAGGAGAGAGGAGAGGAGACCACCGCTCGTTAAATTGATTCGATGTGCGCTCGGAAGCCACCGGGGCCCTCGCCAAGATGCAGCTAGACGCGTTGACCGCCGCCGCAACAATATTTAGAGAAAAAACGATTCAGACATCCCCCTGTTTGTTCGAGCTTGTTTTTTCCGACCGGAATTTTGTTCTGCTCCGATCGAAAGTTCTTTTTCGTCCCTCTGAAAGTCGGAAAAACCGGCATGCGGCTTTCTCGCAATCGCGTTTTCGAACCGCGATTTGTTTCCAACCGCGACGAGGATGCTTGCCCGTGCTGTGGACTCTGCAGGATCGATACACTCCTGCAAATTTTATGAGTTCATTATTCCCGATGGTTTCATATTCATTGGATTGTCCGGAAATAAATTGTGGATGGCCCCATGCATGATGAATGTTGATCCTCCTTATCGGACCTAATAGAAATAGCCAATCAGCCGAACTGGGTCGCGGAAAATTAGAATTTAGACGAGAAGCTTGCACAAGTGTCGTTGCTAATTTGCAGATGGTTCCGACGAAATGAAACGCGCGCGGTGTTATCGATCCCCGCACCGTGATCGGTACGATCAGCCGAGACCTGGTTCTTTCTAATGACCCTATTTTTTTAAGTTCTTTTTTTCCACTGGGAACATCGTTTTTTAGCGAATTACGCGCGAGATTCCCGAAATTGTGTCATCCGCGAACTGCAATCGGTTGCATTGCGTGCAGAAGAAACGAGTAGAATTTCAATGTACGGTAATTTTTGCCTAATTCGCGCTCAGATCGCGCGCATAAATGAGCGATTTGAGTGGACTATAAAAATATACAGTGTTCCAAAATTATGGAACATCCGGGAAATTAGAGATTACTGAGGTCATTCGAAGCAACTTTTTCCTTTACAAAAATGTTCTCCGAGGCATCGTTTACGGGTTATTGAGGAAAAACACTGACCAATGAGAGGCGAGCTCGGTTGGCCGAGCCAACGAGCGCACGAAGCTCAGTTCCGCTCATTGGCTCGCCCGCCTAGCGCCAGGCGAGCTCGCCCCTCATTGGTCATTGCTTTTTCCTCAATAACTCGTAAACGATGCCTCGGAGAAAATTTTTGTAAAGGAAAAAGTTACTTCAAATCACCTCGGGAACCCCTCATTTCCCGGAAATACCATAATTTTGGAATATCCTGTATAATAATCCTGCCTCCTCTCCCCAAATTGTCCAGTTTTGCGCGCAATCTCTGCGCGCGAATTAGGGAGAAATTACCGTACCGCCTCTTCGAGTCTTGTCGCAGTTAAAAAAGCCGCGCGCTAAAGAACGTTGAACCTGCTGTTCTTAATGCGATGCAGCTTTTAACGAACAGAGCGGATACGATGAAATGGCAATTTTTCCGCGGTATTCAAAAGTTGAGCTCGTTAGCAATCGCTGCTGGGAACGTAAACCGGATGATATTTTCGTGTCAACTGGATGAGCACGTGGCGAGGGTTCGTTTCATGAAGCATGCTGTTCTGTTACTTTCTTCGCGTAGCCTGTGCAAAATGTTCGTTCTGTTTGCTACGAGAAATGAATGCGGCGGTCGACGCGTCGTCCGCGGTGTTTAATTGATTCGTTCGCCTCGAACGAATCTTTCTATTCGAATCAGCATTCCGCGGCGCGACGGATCAACGATACGATCCGACTTCCGGAGGCATGGATATATTTTTGATTTGTAACAGTCGAGTGGCGGTGATGCGAGGACAAGTTGTAACCGAACAAGGAATCGGAATAGTAGGCATCCGGGTGTCCGTCGACAGGGACTCCCGCTTCGGATTCACGTTGACCAGAGCCGATGGATGGTAAGTAATATATTTCCTATTATTTTTTTCAAATTAATACCGAAAATTCGACCGGGTTTATTTCCATCCGTGCGGCGAAAATCCATTCTGACAGCGATCTTTCGGCCGTTAATAGCGTTCACGACTCGAAAGCGTCGCCGAGTCGAGGAATCGTTCCAGAAGTGCAGAATATTTCGGATACCGTTGATATTTTGGAATAACCGAGTATTCTGGACCGATTGTAATTTTCACCTGTCCTGCGAAATACCGGGCTCGGTGTAAGTTTACCAGTTGTTATTGCGCCCCGTATTTTTCTAAATACAGTAATTGACGCTCAGATTGTCCACGAAAATAGATTATTTGGGACAAGGAGATTTATAGTTTTCTTTTATACTACTACTTTTCATAGTTACAGGTGCGATTAGATTTAATCGCAGCTGTCCTTCCCAAATTGTCCATTTTTGTTTCCAAGCCGAGCGTCAATTAGGAAGAGTTTACTGTACAGTAATGTCTCTCTAATTGACGCTCAGATTGTCCACGAAAATAGATTATTTAGGAAAAGGAGATTTATAGTTTTCTTTTATACTACTACTTTTTATAGGTAGAGATGCGATTAGATTTCATCGCATCTCCCCTTCCCAAATTGTCCATTTTTGTTTCCAAGCCGAGCGTCAATTAGGAAGAATTTACTGTACAGTAATGTCTCTCTAATTGACGCTCAGATTATGCCCAAAAATGGACGATTTAGAAAAAGAAGATACGATTATTCCAGTCTTGCGACTCGTTTTTATAATTATTGACAATCGGCGACTATAATCGTATGATCGTATAAATATATAATCGCGTCTCCTCTTCTCAAATTGTCCATTTTTGTGCACAATCTCAGCGTCAGTTAGAGAGACAGTATGCTGAACCTTCTCCAAATTGTAACTCCGATAAATTCGTCGAATTTGAATTTCTCACGAATGAATCCTCGCGCGAATACAGCGTTCTCAAATCGTCGGCGCGAAGATGAGCTCGAAAAGTACAGTAAATTCTCCGTAATTCGCGCTCGGATTGCGCACAAAAAATGGACAATCCCGGAAGAGGGGACACGATTATTAAAATAAAAATTAAATAATCTCACACCTCGTTTTTACAGTTCTTGACAATCGGTAACTATAGAAACGAGCCGCAAGGCTCGAACAATCCTACCTCCAAATTGTCCTTTTTTTTTTGTACAATCTGAGCGTCAATTGGTGGGAAATTTACTGCATCAGCCTATAGAAGTAGGGTGCTTGAAACGCGATAGCGCGTCTTTCGTTCGTTTAAACGGTCAACTAGATGAACCTCTTCATTGAGACCGGCTCGTCCTCAAAGGTACCATTTCCGCAATCTCAATTCATCGCGGACCTAAGGTGACGTGGCTTACATTATGCTCTAATCAAGAGATAAGTGACAAGATGCCTGTTAGCAGTGCCGTAGAACGGCACAAGCCACGCATTCACCGCTCGTGCATACCATTCATTCGAGAACGCTGTGCAAATCGCGGTCAAAGACGCGCCGTTTCCACCGAAAGGACTACTCAAGCTCAATCGGTATTATTTAGCTGGCTTTCGGTGAAATTATATTTTATAAAATATTGTTTTTATAATCGACAACTATAAAAACGAGCCGCCTGGCTCCAATAATCGTGTCTCCTCTTTTTAAAGATTAGGGATAAAAGGGTTAAAACGAGCCACAAGGTGGCTCGAGTAATCGTATCTCCTCTTCCCGAATCATCCATTTTTGTTCGCAAGCTCAAGGAAAAATTGAGGAGAACTTACCGTAAGCAAAAATGGACAATTTGAGATAATAAAAATGGGACGATCATTTGAGCCTCGTTTTAATAGTCGCCGAATTGTTTCCTTCATGGTCAAATCTTCCATTTCACTCCTCCTTGAATCAGCTCCATTGCAAAACACAAATTACCGAAACCGCTAATATCAAGCCGACGACGATTCAGCGCGAAAATAAAACCGTCGCGGAAACGCGTATCACGCGACCCAATACGTCGATGCACGCGTCGCAACGTATCTCGGTATGACGGATAGGGGTCGTTCGGATGCTGGGCGCCGGGAGTCCCGCATGAGGAACACGCGGCAGGAACAAAGGCGAGAGGACACGCGTTATCCTTTCCGCTCGCGGATGATAGTTTCCCCGTTGGCGCATCGCCGGAACCGTATGCGTGACATTAGTATTTGCACACGACGATAGGCGGGAACCGTGCACGCCAGCTTGGACGTTCTTCGTAATAGGATCAAGGCTGCATTGTAATGAAGGGTGGGGAGAGAGTGGGAGGTGGACGGAGACGCCGCGCAACACCTATATATCGAACAGGTATATAGTAATCCCGGCGAGGATAATCCTGAAACACGGAGCCGGAGGAGTTGGCCCGGCAAACCACATCAAAGCCCCAGCTAATGATGTCGAAAGCTTCCTAATTACTCCGTGCAAACCTGCGTGATTAGTCCGACCTCCGTTTCTCCCACTCCTTTCCCGCCGACTGTGCCCACTGTGCCCACCCCCTACCACCCCCCTGCCACCTACCCCTTCCACCGCCGTCACAGCCGCTATCCCGATAGCTGTCGAAATTTTACCATAATACGGTGAAACTGCGAACGCGAGATTGTATCGCGACGAAATCCCGGGCGAGCCCGTCGCGTCAGACCGACGGGCCGCGTCGGGTAATCCGAAACTCGGGCCCGGGCTTCGAACCGTTTCCATTCACCTTCAATGAATTCCGGCGCTACGCGCGCTAATAGATTGCCGGTTATTAACGCCCGTCGCGCCGATAAATATTATATATATATATGTGGAACTTGTTCGAGGGTGCTGCGATGCGAGTCGTCGGGAGACTTTTGGTTTGGGGACCTTCTGCTAGGGACTTGCTCCCTAATTGACGTTGCTCGGTTTGGAAACAGAAGTGGACAATTTGGGAAGAGGAGATGCGATTTATTGAGCCTTGTGGCTCGTTTTTGTAGTTGTTGAGAAACGGTGGCTGTAAAAGGCTCGAATAATCGAGTATCCTCTTCGCAAATTGTTTATCTATGTTTGCACTTTGAGTGACAATTGGAGAAAATTTACTATACACGGCAAGGAAGTTGAATGATTAGACGCGTACCTCGCAGCACACTAAATTCTCCCTAATTGACGCTCAGATTAGAGTAATTTCTCCCTAATTCGCGTTCGGATTGCGCACAAAAGTGAACAATTTAGGAGATAGCCTTGAGGTTTATCTTTACGTTTACCAATTCTCAAATAATCGTATCTCCTGTTCCCAAATTGTCCATTTTTGTGCACAATCTGAGCGTCAATTAGGGAGAATTTACTGTTCACGTTGAGTGACAGTTAGAGAGAATTTACCGTACACCACAAGAAAGTTGAGTAATTATACCAGTTCCTCGCAGTACAATAAGTTCTCTCTAATCGATTATGCCCAAAAATGTCCAATTTGAAAAGAGAAAAGATACAATCATTCCAGCCTTGCGATTCGTTTTTATAATTGTTGATCATCAGCGACTATAATCGTACAATCGTATAACTATACAATCGCATCTCCTCTTCCCAAATTCTCCATTTTTGTGTACAAACAGCGCGTCAATTAGGGAGAATTTACCGCGCCCGTCGACAGATTTCGAGATAACGAGACGGTCGGTGACTTCCAAACAATAAATCCAATGGAAATGAACAAATCCTGGTTTGCGACCCTGTTACCGGTGCATCGACTTGTTGGTTCTCCGTTCGGCCACGACTTCAAACCGTTCCATTTCCTCAACAACGTTCCAATACTAAGACCAAAGGACGAACGAGTAACGTCCGAGCCGTGTTAAAAATGAAATTCCGAGCGCGTAACACGTTTCCCACGAAGCTCGCCGGTAGTAGTACAATCGGTATCACTCGGTACAGTGATATCTCGGTTATCGAAAACTGGCCGGCTCGAATCGGTCACGGTCGAGCTAGAAACCGGCTTGGTTGTCCTTTATCGATCGCTTTGGGCACCCGCGCGACGTAATACCGGAAACGGTGTGGTATAGTTTGAAATGCATTCACCTACTTCGATCAGGTTTGACGTGCTGGTCAACGGCGGCGGTGCAGTGACGCTTCAGTTCCAGCGCAGCCCCTTCATACCCCTTACGAGAACGGTGTTCGTGCCGTGGAATCAAATAGTGGTTCTGCCTCCCGTGGTGATGACCCTTAACATGGACGGCCAGCCCCATAAATCGAACCAACCCCCCAGCCCAGCTGTCGGTAAGTATTAACCCCTATATTATGTTTCCGTTTCGTTTTTCGGTACTTTTTTTCGTATTTCGTTCACGTTGTATCGCGGCTGCCCCATTATCGTCGCCCTCCCCCCTCCCCTCGTCCCGGCCCGGACCCCGCCGGGCCGCCCCCTCTGTTAACGAGACGAATAAATGGCTGAGAAGCTTTTCATAGCGGAGACGCATGCATTAAACATGAGTGCCGCCGCGCTGGCTAAGCCTCCTCCGACGTGACGACCGAAAATTACTCGTAAATCATTGACCAAACATCTCGAACGGAACCTGTTATATTAACCCTTTGCACTCGAAGTCGTTTTAACCGCGAATCAAAAATAACTTTGCTCGCTTACAGTAATTCCCATTTTATGGGAAATGCACGAAGTGCATTTTATGCATGTAAAATTTCGTCTTGCGGCGACTCGTACAACAATTACGCTTTCAACAAATTTTCTACATCAAACTTTGTTGATATAGAAATGATCTTGGAAAGTGATATAACGATTCCAATGGTGCCCCGGGGTCACCGCTCGAGTGCAAAGGGTTAACCTTTTAGGTACGGCTGAATTCTGCGCGAGGCTATTTCTCTGGACGGCAGAGTCTGATGTGTACTGTACAGAGTCTGATACTGTATATACAGAGTGTCCCAAAAATGTCTCGCAATCCGAAAGTGGCGGGTTCTTCGGGCCATTCGAAGCAACTTTTTCCTTTACAAAAATGTTCTCCGAGACACCGTTAACGAGTTATTAACGAAAAACAGTGACCAATGAGAGGCGAGCTCGGCTGGCGCGAGGCGATCGAGCCAATGAGCGGAACTGGGCTTCGCGCGCTGGTTGGCTGGGCCGCCTCGCGTCAGCCGTACTCGATTCTTATTGGTCACTGTTTTTCGTTAATAAATCGTTAACGGTGCCTCGGAGAACATTTTTGTAAAGGAAGAAGTTGCTTCAAATGATCCGAGGAACCCGCCATTTCCGGATTGCGAGACATTTCTGGGACACCCTGTAGACTGTCGTAAATCGATGTGAAGACAAAAGAAGTGTGAAACAATGCATATGAAGACGATTATTTGGTTCAAACGATGAGAGCTACCAGAGCAAGCCACTATAGTGGCGCGTCGTCCAGAGAGATGACATCCGCGAAAGCCACTACAGTGGCGCGTCGTGTCTAAAAGGTTAAAGGAGCCGCCGACGCGTCGACTTGTTCCTCCTCGCGGAGGAGGAACGACACTTACGGCGTAGTCCGAATTGTTTGATCAAAGTAATCGCGGCGATGCTAAGCATTAATCGGTAATTTGTAATCCGTGATACGAATGTTACGCGGTTAACGATTATTATTATCGAATTATCCACGCCGGTTACCGATTACATTTGCTTTGATTACTCCGGCGAATCATGTAGTCGTGGATACCGGATTACACGCAATTAGTAATCGTAATCATTAATCGCTGACCTGATTTCGCGAGTGTAGCCGTCGCACGGTCAATAATTTAGAAATAATTTGAAGCCGTCGGCGTCAGAGGAAATCCGTTCCCCGTGCGCGTGTGCGATAAAAATTGTTCGTTATAATTTCACCGAGTTATAATTTATCCTCGTTTCGCGCGTTTCGATCGTTTCGATTTTTCTTTCTCCCGGAAACGTCTGTTCATGATCAATAATTTAGACCATCTCCGTAGACGATAACGCAGGACTTGCTGATCGTGTGTGCCGTCTTTGTTCCGTCCTTAAGTGTTTTATGTTTTTAAGTTCCTTACCATTTATGGCGTACAATATAATAGGCTTCCCAGGGATCTCGATGGGACTATTTAGCGAGCACGGCCCGTGCCTCGAACACGATCACGAGCTGCTCAGGCCGATCATCATCAGCACCTGGATGCCCGAAAAGGTGGGCGGGCTGCCCGGCAAGAGCGTAGTATTCGCAGAAAGTCAGGTAAACTAGACCGATTCGTATCGCTTCTTTTTTTTATTAATCCCGTCGTCGATGTTTCACTTGGCATTTCCGTAATGCATTCTTGCGCATAAACAACGCTAGAGTCTACCGACCGTAACAATGGCCGACGCGCATTGCCTCGCAAAAATGAGAAGGTCGAAAATTCATTTAGATTTTGTAGTTTATTAACTTGAAATAATTGATAGTAAGTAATATTAATAGTATAATGATATTAATCCTTTGCACTCGAAGCTATTTTAACTGTAAATATAAAATCATTTTTCTGACTTATAGTATTTATATTTTATATGACAAAATGCATTTTATGCGTATGAAATTGACTCTTGGGACTCGCACAACAGTTACGCTCTTAATAATTTTTTAAATCTAGACTTTGTTAATATCAAAATTATCTTGAAAGGTGATGTAACAAATTTTAGTAGTGCCTCGGAGTCACCAATCGAGTGCAAAGGGTTAATAATAAGTAATAGTAAATAGTATTAATATTATAGTGATATTAATAATAAATAATAGTAAATAATATTGATATTATAATGATATTAATAATAATATCAATAATAAATAATAGTCAATAATATTAATATTATAATACTACTAATAATAAATAATAGTAAATAATATTAATATAATAATAATATTAATAATATTTATTAATTATAATAAATATCATAATCTTTGCCCCAGTAATATAATTTACTCGAAAATTCCTCGCGAAAAAGCCTCCAAAATGTGCAGAATTAAAAAAAAAGAATCAGTCCTAAATTTTTGACACTGAACCTGCATTCGGTGTCCAAAAAGGTCCACATATAGTTAAATTTCACGATAAAAGAGTTCTAAATTCATCCAACTCATGAGCAACAATCGCATCGAAAAGATCGCGCCAACACCAAAAGACAATCTTTCCAACTCTTTCCGAAAGAATATGATCCCGAAAAAGCGACACCCAGCCCGGGGGTTTGGATACTCTAAATTCCGGCCGGCATTAGCATCCGTATCTTGTCCAGCGGCTATACCGCGGCAGGTCAAGCCATCAAACTCCAATCTGTTATTTGGACCGGCTCCCCGAAACGCATGCAAGATCAGAGGCTGCATAACAGCGTCGGACACTTTGTAGCAGCTTACCTCCTCGGGCGCAGGTGTATGTATGTGTCTGTGCGTCCGCATCTGTGCCCGGTCGGAGGCCCAGCCGTCGTAGGAAAAGCTGAAGTTCGCCGGCTGATTTAAAATTCAAATACGTCCACAGGCGTCGTAAACAAGATTTTCGAGTGACCGGGTCTCCCCGACCGTTCTCTTACAGATCGTCCAGGAGAGCATCGCGATCCCGGGCTCGAACCTCCACTTGATGTACCAGAGCAGCCAGGCGGCCGGCTACCTGTCCACCGTCAGGATGCAGCTGACCGGCCCGTTCATCCCGAAGTCGCTGACGCACGTGCACGTGCACGTGGAGATCGAGGGCTCGTTGCACACGAAGACCTACGAGGCGGACCCGAATCTGACCCACACGTTCGCTTGGAATAAACGGAACGTTTACAAGCAGAAGGTGTACGGGGTGGCGCAGGCGAGGATCTCGATCGGCTATCAGCACTCCACTTGCACATCGGTGATATGGGAGACCCAGACGGCCAGCATGCAGGGATTCGACGTCGACATCTCGGACATCGGCGGCTGGGGCCTCGACATCCATCATCACTACAACTTCCACGAGGGCATACTGCAGAAAGGGGACGGCACCACGCTGCACCTAAAGCAGTATCCGAGGACCGTGAAGGTCGTGATGGGCACTGGCCTGCAGAGGAACCTCGTCTGCCAGGATTGCAACGGCCTCGCCAAGGACGCGAGGTTGCTGACGCCGGTGGCGCTTACCAGCGGGCCCGACGGCAGCATCTACGTCGGAGATTTCAATCTCGTCAGGAGGATCACGCCCGAGGGAAACGTCTACACCGTTCTGATCCTGAGGTGGGTCTCTTGCGATCTCTCGGAAATCGGTGCTTCCCGGCGCACCGCGAGACCGAAATATAGAAATGGCTTCCACACTGACGCTCGGATTGTCCACTAAAATGGACAATTTGGGAAGAGGAGATACGATTATTCGAGGCTCTTGCGGCTCGTTTTTATAGTTGTTGACAATCGAGAACTCTAAAAAACGAGTCACAAGGCTCGAACAATCGTATCTCCTTTCGCAAAATTGTCTATTTTCGTGGACAATCTGAGCGTCAATTAGAAAGACATTACTGTAGTAATGTGCCGACCTCGCAGATCAATGACGACCACGTCCAAACCGCCGTGACAATTCGTGACTATAAAAATGAACCAGAAGGATCGAATAATCGTATCTCCTCTTCCTAAATTGTCTATTTTCGTGGACAACCCGAGCGTCAACTAGAGAGACATTACTGTACAGTAAATTCTTCCTAATTGACGCTCGGCTTGGAAACAAAAATGGACAATTTGGGAAGGACAGATGCGATTAAATCTAATCGCACCTCTAACTATGAAAAGTAGTAGTATAAAAGAAAACTATAAATCTCCTATTTCCAAATAATCTATTTTTGTGTACGATTTGAGCGTCAATTGGAGAGACATTACTGTACCCTGCGCAGGGCGGAGCGCACGCGGCGGTTCTTGTAAACGCGCATAATTTGATGTTGCAGCGCGACACAGGTGGCTTATCAGTACTACTTGTGCGTCTCCCCGGCCGACGGACACCTTTACATCAGCGATCCCGAGAAACACCAGATATTGAAGGCGTTGACCCTGGACGTTGTGCAGAGTCCCAGCATCAACATCGAGCCGGTCGTCGGCAGCGGCGAAAGATGCATCCCTGGCGATGAGAGCCACTGCGGCGACGAGGGGCCGGCCATTCGTGCGAAACTGGCTCATCCGAAAGGTAACATGGCGACCTCGAGCTTTTCGACCATTAAGCTCGTTCAACCCTTTGCAGTCGGAGCCATTTTAACTCCTATAGCATTTTTCCATTTTATATGAAATAGAATTTCGTAACTCGTGCAACAATTACGCTATCAACCCTTTGCACTCGAAGCCATTTTAACTGTAAATCGAAAATAATTTTTCTGATTTATAGTATTTCCATTTTGTATGACAAAGTGCATTTTATGAGTATGAAATTGAGTCTTGCGGTGACTCGTGCAACAGTTACACTTTCAACAATTTTTTAAATCTGAACTTTGCTGATATAAAAATTATCTTGGAACGTGATATAACAATTTTAGTGGTGCCTCAAAGGTTAACCCTTTGCACTCGAGTGACAACTCCGAGGCGCCATTATAAAATTGTTGCGTCACGTCTGAAAATAATGTTATCAATCAAATTTGTTTGTATTTAAAGAGCTGTCGAAATCGTAACTGTTGCACGGGTCACGATATTCAATTTCATACGCATAAAATGCACTTTGGGTCATACAAAATGGAAAAACCCTGGGTCGGAAATGCTATTTTAAATTTTGCGTTGATTCGGCTTCGGATGCAAAGATTTAAGACTTTCATAAGTATAAACAAAATCCGATAACGTTAACATTATTTCCAAACATGACACAACAATTTTTAATATCGCCTTAGTGTCGCAAAAATTCGATTAAATCATCGAATCGTCCAAGAACGTAGACTGGTCGACCCACGAAACTTCGTCCGATAAACGCGCCCCGTTTTTCAGGCATCGCGATTGCGGCGGACAAGACGATGTACATCGCGGACGGCAGGAACATCCGAGCGGTGGACCCGCACGGCATCATCCACACTCTGGTGGGTCACCATGGACACCATAACCACTGGTCCCCGGCGCCGTGCGTTGGCGCGATATCCGCTCACCAGGCTCAGCTGCAATGGCCGACAGGATTGACCTTGAGCCCGCTCGACGGTTCGCTGCACTTTATCGACGACAGGCTAGTCCTGAAGCTGACCAGCGATCTAAAAGTGCGAGTGGTGGCCGGGACGCCTTTGCACTGCGCCAGCAACAGCAACGGCAACGACGGGGAAGCGGCTAAAGCGAACGCAAGCAGCGTCGCGAACTCGAAGAAGCCGGACGAGGTGTTGGGCTCGGTGCTCGCCGTCAGCTTCAGCCCGACCGGCGAACTCTACATCGCGGAGAGCGACTCCCACAGGGTGAACACGATCAGAGTGGTGGACAGCTCCGGGAAGATGTCTCATTTCGCTGGCCAGCAGCAGGAGAGGCTGCGAGGCCAGTGCGAGTGCAACAACACCACACCCAGCACCAAGGACCTGGAAAGCTGCTCCTGCACCGACGACACCAGCAGCACGGAGACCTTGCTGTCCTCGAACGCCAAGTTCACCGCGATCTCCGCCATCGCTATCTCCCCCGACGGTATCCTGCACGTGGCGGACCAAGGCAGCCTGCACATCCTGGCGCTTCAGCCGTATCTTCCCAATCTCGACGAAAGCGGGGAGTTCCATATTCCGTTCCCGCCGACGAACGAGATCTACGTGTTCAACCGATACGGTCAGCACAGCTCCACCAAGGATCTGACCTCCGGGAAGACGCGCTACTCGTTCCTCTACAGCAAGAACACCAGCTTGGGGAAACTGTCCACCGTGACCGACAGCGCTCGCAACAAGATCCAGTTCCTCAGGGACTACAACAGCGTGGTCAGTTCGATAGAGAACACTCAGGATCACAAGTCCGGTCTGAAGATCTCGGCTGTCGGATTCCTGGAGAAGCTCACCGAAAGGGGTAGATCAGAGATCGTTCTTGGATACGATGGGTCCACGGGGTTGCTGACCAGCCGATCAGGGGTGAGTCTACGATGTTCGATGGGTTTTCTAGATCCCGGAGCATTGTTGTTCAGTATTGTTGTCCTGTTTGTTGCAGGGCGGAGAGACGTATATTTACAATTACGACGGTCTTGGTCGCGTCACCGATGTGATCTTACCTACCGGGGAGAGGCTGAAGCTCTTTTCGGACTTGTCCGGCGACGAAGGCTTGTCGGTGAAGGTCTCCGCTCCTCTGCAGGCGCTGTCCAAGGGCGACAAACAGCGAGCCGTGGAGTTCAACATGAAGAACGAGAGGTCGAAGGTGTTGACCATCACCGACGGTGAGATTCGAGGGATCGATTCTGTGTTTTGTTGCAGCGCAAGCCGCGTCGATTATCACTGTCCGATTATATGATTTTTGATTGCCTATAGCCACTGTGAAATTCTTGTGGAGCTTCGCTTACTGTTCAAGGATCCGAGAACCGAATTGCTCCATCGCTCTTGGTTTTCGGGAAATAACGCGCTTTTGTAAAAATCCAAAATTTTCCAAGAACGTTGGGAAGTTCTAATCGGTGTTAAAAGATAGGGAAGAGTTTCCCGAATATAGTGGCATGCAATTTATTCGTTGTTTTTGCTCCTAAATAGCAATAAATTAATGTCAAAGTTTAAAGAAGTGTCGAGGTGCATAGTTTCCTCGCGATATTTTTCTACTTTTACGAAAAGTAGTTTGTCCTGCGCAAAAACTCTACCTCTAAAATTTATAGTTATTTAGGACCAAAAACAATTAATAAATTGCATGCCACTATGTTCATAAAACTTTCCTCTATCTTTTGAGATCGATTAGAACTTTCCAACTAACTAAGTTTATACTTTCCATACCACATTTTTATCGACAATTTTAAATTTTTACAAAAGTTCATTTTTTTCGAGAACTGAAGTTGACGGAGCAATTCGTTTTTCGGATCTTTGATCGGCAAATAAATCTCTACAAGAAGCGTCTTTATAAAATCAGAAAAACAGTTTAATTTCGTCGAGCAGCGTCACCATCGGCATAATCTAAAGAACAATTCCGATCCGCAGGTGCCAAGATCAAGAAGGCGATCGCGTTCACCAACAGCAGCCTCGAGGTCCTTCTCCCTGGTGGCGGCCGAGTGCTCAGTGCCCCAACGACGAAGCACCCTCTGTTGGAAGCCGCGCTGCCGGTCGAAGCCGAAATGCTACCAATGTGGAGCTACCAGTTGATGTCTCTCGGAGAACTGACGAACACCATGACGACCACGTACAACCTGGTCGGCGACGTGAGCCACTTCCAGCAAACCCTGAACAGAGAGATCTGGGTGAACGACACCAGAGTGATAGGCGTGGAGTTCGAGCAAGCGTTCAGCCGCGAAACGTTCTACGACAAAACGAGGAACCCTTTGCTGACCGTCACCTTCGACGCAGCCGGGCTACCGTTGACCTGGCAGCCTCACGAGCAAGGCTGCAACCTGAGCATAACTTACGACAGGTTCAACCGCATCGAAAGTTGGAAATGGGGCGTTTCGGACGAGTCCTACGGCTACGATCGCCACGGCCAGCTGGCCGAGGTGACCAACAGCCAGGACGGCACCAAACGGTACACGTACAACAGCCTGAACATCCTCTCCAACATCACGCTAGCCAGCGACCGGAATTTCTCCTTGGAGTACGACGACGACGGCGGCCTTCGTCACATCATACTTCCCTCGGGAACGAAGCACTCGTTCTCCTGCCACGCCTCCCTGGGCTTCCTGAGGGTGACGTACACTCCGCCGGGCAGCATCCGTGCCTATCTTCAACACTACAGCCACGACGGCAATCTGCTGCAAACGGTGTTCCCGGGCGACGGAGCTAGAATCGTCTACAGATACCACACTTCCGGCCAGCTTGCCGAAGTGGTGCACGGCGACGGGAAGAGCGAGATCCGGTACACGGACAGCGGCCTCCCGTCGGAAGTGATCCACTCGGAGAGGGACGTCGAGTACAAATGGGACTACCAGTACAGCGCCGGCCTGCTGGTCGAGGAACGCATCGATTTCGGGGCGAAGACCGGTCTCAGCAACGCGAAATTCACCTTCGACTACGACTCGAACTTCAGGCTGATCAACGTCCAGGGCAGAATCGGGGGGCAAACGTTGCCCGCCCACACGATGGCCTACAGTCCGAGGACAGGCATGCTGGAGCAGATCGGACAGTTCAAGATCGCGAGGCCGCAGAGCAACGAGACCACCGTGTCCGACGGTACCGCGCTGTTCTCGCGGATCACCGACGAGAGATACTTGGAGACGCAGGTCACCCTGACGATTCATCAGCTGGAGGTCTTCAGGATGGAATTCGCTCACGACTCGCGCGGTCGCATCAATCAGACCAGGACGTACACGCGCAACGTCGCCGTGAACACGTACACGAACGTGAAGAACTACACGTGGGACTGCGACGGTCAGCTGACCGGTGTCGAGGCTCAGGAGCCGTGGGGATTCAAGTACGACGCTAACGGGAACATGCTGTCGTTGACCTACAGAGGGAACACGATACCGATGGAGTACAATAACATGGATAGAATACTGAAGTTCGGCGAGGGTCTCTACAAGTACGACAATAGAGGACTGGTGGTGCAAAATGCCCGCGAAGAGAGGTTCAATTACAATGCCAAAGGTCTTCTGGTACGCGCCAGCAAACGCGGTCGCTTCGACGTTCGATACTACTACGATCATCTGGATCGTTTGGCAACGAGGAAGGACAATTACGGCAATGTCACGCAGTTCTTCTATAACAATCAGAAACGACCGCACGAGGTCAGCCAGATCTACAGTCCGCGCGACGGCAAGCTGATGTCATTGGTCTACGACGACAGGGGACACCTGATCTACGCGCAGGTCTACAGGCACAAGTATTACATCGCCACCGATCAGTGTGGCACGCCTATCATGATCTTCAGCCAGTACGGCGAAGGCATCAGGGAGATCATGAGATCGCCCTACGGACATATCGTTTACGACTCGAACCCCTATCTTTATCTGCCCGTCGACTTCTGCGGAGGACTCTTGGACAAGGTGAGATTATTGATTATTATACTATATTAATAAATATTATTATATTACAGTATATATTATATTATATTATATTATATTATATTATATTATATTATATTATATTATATTCCCTGATCATTAGCAGGGAACGCCGATGTTTCCTAACCGCCTCGTTCGCGCGAGAATCGCCGACGATTCCCGAAGATTACAATGAACAAATTCGCAGGTAACGTCGTTGGTGCACATGCCGAACGGCAAGGTCTACGACCCGTTGATCGGCCAATGGATGTCACCGCTCTGGGAGAACGTGTTGGATAGGGTGGACACGCCGACTCACCTGCATTTGTACAGGTTCAACGGGAACGACCCTATTGACGTGAGGCACACGGACAGACCGAACCAACCTACAGGTAAGGACCGGGTATCTTCATCGAGATCAATCGCTTTGTGCAAGATTAATAGCTTGCATAGGTTCGGGGGGGAGGAGGGGTCAATATTGATGCGCTCTCGCGGTAGAGCCTGGCTTCTGAAACCAAACGGCGTCTGTAGAGAGACGGTCCCGTGATTTAGCATCCGCAATAACTGTATCCAAGAGACATAAAGAGAGAGAGAGAGAGAGAGAGAGAGAGAGAGAGGCACACCAATGTTCGACGCGTCTTTCAGATCACATATCATGGCTGAAGCACCTGGGCTACGACCTGAAGAGCCTGGCGCCGCAGCTGTTCCCCGACGAGCTGCCGGACAGCCTGGTTCCGCCTGCCTTGGACCCGGGCACCTCGATCTTCGGCAAGAAGAAGCGAACGCGCAACCTCGGCGTGCAGTCCGGCTTCCTGGCTCACATCGCGCAGCGGCACTCCGGCGACGCGGTCAGCCTGTCCGCGCCGCCGCGCTCCGCCCTGAAGAAGGACACCAGCGAGCTGATCCCGAGCCGGCTGGGCGCGGCCGCGGATCCTCCGTTCGGCAAGGGGATCCTGGTTTCGAGAACCGGCGACGGCCTCGCGGTGGTGTCCAGCGTGCCGACGGCGAACGCGATCTACGGCGACGTGTTCACGTCGGTGTTCAACCGGTCGTACTTCCTGCCGTTCACGTTCGTGGTGCACAGCGCGCAGCAGGACGCCTTCTACTTCGTGAAGGAGGAGACGTGGCGCGCGAGCGAAGATAGGGGCCAGCTGAAGCGACTCGGCGGCCAGGTGAACACGACGTTCCACGAGAGCGAGAACGGCAGCGGCAGCAGCTCGCTGATCGACGTGAAGATCCACGGGGCTAGCTACGTGGTGAACCTCCGTTACGGCACCACCGCCGAGAAAGAGAAACAAAGACTGCTCCACCACGCGAAGGCCACCGCCATCCGCAAGGCCTGGCACCGGGAGCGCGAGGCGCTCAAGGCCAACACGCCGTCCACCATCGAGTGGATGGTCGCCGAGCAGGACGAGATCCTGAAGTCCGGCTCCGCGTCGAACTACGAGGGCGAGTACATCCACGACGCGCAGCTGTACCCGGAGCTGGCCGAGGACCCGTACAACATCAGGTTCGTGAAGAAGGCGGTCGACCCGTCCAGCAAGAAACGCCGCAGAAGGAGAGGCGCGCCCACCTGCAAGCTCTGGTGGCTGGACAAGCTCTGCTAGATCGGCGGCCGCTCTCCTAGAAACTAACAAGGTCCTCCTCTTTTCTCCTGGACCGGGAGAAACTGTCCAAAGCGGAAAGCAAACAGGAATTTTCGGGGCGCGCGCGGCGACGCGACGCCGACCACTGGTGCGAACGAGAGGCGGAGGAGACGACACACCGGCCACGGCGCCGCGACGACGACGACGACGACGACGACGACGACGAAGACGACGACGTTGTATACGCCGTGCGCGCGTGCGCGTCGTTATCACGCACCTTGAACACTATCAAACAAAGAAAAAAAAAGAAGTTTTATACCAAAGTCTATTTGTGTATTTCGAAGATGCCAAAAACATTAACGTTAATACGATTATTATGTACCGTGATAGGGTGTAGTTGCGTAAAAAACAAAAAGGCTCGATGTCGCGTGACTCGCGCGCGCGGGTCACCGGTGGTGGTGAATTGATGGGAGAGGGCCGCGAGTCGCGTTCCGGGGACCCGTCTTCCTCCGGGGTCCCACGAGGATGCTCGATCGATGTTCCTTCGATGATCGAATCCGTGGACAATGTCCACGGATGAAAAAGAGGGATTCGACGGAACCGGAGACCGGTGCGCGGAACGTGGTCGTGAACGGCGGTACCATCGAGACGAGGGTCGATTTCGGCGCGGAATCGGAGTACCGGAAGCCAAGGCCATTCGTCGTTGAGGGACGAACCGAGTGAGAGAAACTAGTCAATATATAGCTTTACATTGACGTAGAAACTTTTTTCCAATAGGATAAGGTCGAGCCGAGTGTCACGATCGTCGATGTTAACTGTGCGATGGTGGTGGTGGTGGTGGTACCCTGTCTGTCCGTCTTTTGTGTGGCCGCGCTCGAACCGTACTTAGAACGAACCACGTGCGGTCCCGCCCGTCCACGGAATCCGTAGAGAGATTGATGGCGGAGGGACGGAGGAGGACGGTGCGCGGTGGGTTCGCGAGTGGAAACGGGACACGGACGCGCGAATCTCAACAATGAATGGCCCGATTAGAGGACGAGGATCACGGGAATGGACGACGACAGCGGTCGGCGCTGAGGAGGATTGTCATGATGATAATGATGATGATTATGATTATAATGATTATGATGATGATGATGATTATGATGATGATTATAATGGTTATGATTATTATAATGATGATGATTATTATGATGATGAGGATGAGAATGATGATGATTATAATGATGATGATGATTATGATGATGAGAATGATGAAGATGATGAGGATGAGGATGAGAATGATGAAGACGATGAGGATGAGAGTGATGAAGATGAAGATGATGAGGATGAGGATGAGAATGATGAAGATGATGAGGATAAGGATGAGAATGATGAAGATTATGAGAATAAGGATGAGAATGATGAAGATGATGAGGATAAGGATGAGAATGATGAAGATGATGAGAATTATGTGATGATGACGACGATGATAATGAAGATGATGAGGATGATGGAGCTAATGATGATGATGATGATAAGAATGAAGATGATGGTGCGTATGATGAGAATGATGATGACTATAATGATGATGATGAGGATGATAATGATGATGATGATGATGATGACGACGATGATGCCGAGGATCGTTCATACGCGCCTCGAATTGACTAATCCCGAATTTAGGCGGTCGAGGAGGAGACGACGTTAGGGTGTATTATAATGTGGTGCTTTCGGTGCGACAGTAACGAGCGTGACTAGTTAGAGGACATCACTAAATAGCGTGGCTAAGGTATTTTTAACTGATGGATGTGTCCTAATCCCACAAAACCCTATGGTTCCCCGTTCAGCGCCAGCGTGTCTCCACCACTTCCTCTCCTCTGGAGAAAAAAAAAAGAACCCGTGTCGTTCGCGAAACGTCGGCTCTCTGCGGGGACTGGAGAAGAAAATAGCCCGGTTGCCTCCTTGGCAAGGCGAGGTGCGAAAACCGGAAATCGTTTTGAAACCGGAAGGAAGCGTCGGGACGCGCGCGCGCGCGCGCCGATGTCCGTTACCGCGAGCCACGCGAACGCGGACGCGGACTAATTGTCGGTATAAATAATACGTATAAACACAATATCGCAAATATTCGTGCTTGCTGGATATGAATAACGAGCGTTAACTATCGTTTCCTTCACCGAATAACTAAGTGTGTGTATCTAAATTAAACGCTGATCAGTGCCCGGCCGTTTCCGCGGCGCACTGAGAAACGCCATATTAAACGTCTCTACGCGCGTAAGCTATTATTTAGCACCTGCCGAGCCCTTTCGCATAGCCTGCCGTCAACCCTTCCGGCGCTGATCGCGACCGTACAGGGTGGTGAACGGGACACGGTGTACCCGAGGAATAATCTAGCGGAAGCCGATCGCGCGCTTCTTTCGCTATGGCTACTCGTTGCTATCGCCGCCTCGTCTCGAACGTGTTTCCCGCGAATTCGATTAGACTGTTCCGCGAATTATAATCTGCTTCGACCCTCGACTGGCGGGCTGAGATGTGCCTCAGACTCGGTGGAGATCTTTTAAAAAATAGTTATCCGAATCTGCTCGGACAGCGTGACATTTTCGTGGTGTTGCTCTCGATTCGTGTTTGTTACAAATTGACGCATTTGTAGCTTAGTAAAATCGTCGGAATCTGCGAGGCGCGGAAAGTTTGAATATAAAATTTAATATTGTAATTTTATCTTTATTCATATTTATATTCATTTTTCACTATTGCACGCGCTTCTAACCTCCCCGCGAATTCCTGCGCGATCGTTGCCGATACAGTTTCGCCTTATTATTAGATTTGAAGTATAAATCTAAATATAAAATTTAATATTTTCCTTTTATCTTGGTTTCATTCGAATCCTTAGGCGATAAAATCGAAACTTCGTTGTTCGCTCGGTCTTCGAACCTCCCCGCGAATTTCTGCGCGATCGTAGCCGATACAGCTTCGTATTATTAGATTTGAAGTATAAGTTCGAATATAAAATTTAATATTTTATTTTATCTTGGTTTCATTCGAATCCTTACGCGATAAAATCGAAGCTTCTTTGTTCGCTCGCTCTTCGAACCTCCCCGCGAATTCCTGCGCGTAGCCGATACAGCTTCGCCTTATTATTAAATATAAAGTATAGAAATCTCTGTTTCCATGCGATTCGTCTCATAACAACAACCAACGCAGCCGTCGAGTCGTCCTTGCGCTAAAAAACGTCCACGAAGAATCTATATTGATTTGAAAATATAAAGTTTGCCCCGCGAGGAAAGTCGATCGAAAGCCGCCCGTTAAAAAAGCCCCGGTTAAGGGTTGCGAGGATTCATCTTATGTTCGCGATCGCGTCGATGCCCGCAAACTCTCGCGGATCGTGATCGTTGAAGTAGTATACCACGATCTTCGGACTCTTCTTCAGACTCTCTCGAGAGAAGGAAAGCAAGTGGCTGCGATCAAAAGCTGCTCGGATCCACAGCGCGGTTAGGGTTGATAGCCGGCGGTACCCTAATCTCCCGAACCCGGTCCCGCCCACACTCCCCCTTCCCACCCGTCCTCACTTTGTTTCTTTCTTTCGATGTACATTCCCTTCGATTGCCCTGCCACATTCGATACTTTGCGACGGCTTTAGACGGCGCCATTTTAACGGGATTAGATAGGCGGCACCGCGACGACAAAATGAATCGTATATCGCGGCTAGAAATCGAGAAAAACGACAAAACCAAAAAAAATGAATCACACTATACGCTGAGTGTATAAACGTTACGGAAGGAACAAAAAGGTGAGAGAAAAACTATATATATAGAGAGAGAAAGAGAGAAAGAGAGAGAGAGAAAAATTGAGAAGGAAAGAAAAATACGGGAAGAAAAAGAGAAGATGAAGAAAGAGAGAGAGAGAGAGAGAGAGAAGGAGGGAAAGAGAAAGATATATAGGAAAGCTTCGTGTAATGTATTTTTTACTCGGTCTCGAGTGTTTAGAGCTATTGTGTAACAGCGAAACTCTCCAAATTCTGCGGTCCAAGGGAGCTCTCTCGTCGGTGAGACGAGGTCGGTGACGGTCGCTCAGTTCGTTTCGCGCGTTTCTCCTTTCGAAAATTAGTCCCGCGGACGATACGAAGGAATGCCGGGACGCGTCGCGATCGCTATAGAAGAACCGCGTCGAGATCATCGTTATCGTCGAGCACCCCACACGCCGGG